TGGCGGGAGACAGGCTTACCAACAGGGCTGGTGGTGGTGCCCCAGCCAGAAACTGTGCATGAGGTCCCAGGGCCCTCGCATCGGGAGGGCAGGTTGACGGCCTTCACCGAAGGGGACATCCTGGCCGGGGAGTTCAGCCGCACCAGCATGATGTCGTTGACGTGGGTGGTCGTGGAGTAGTCAGGGTGCCGGATGGACCTTGTGGCTCTGACCCTCTGGCCCCTCCTGCCGTTCAGCATCTGGCTGCCCATGTGCACGTTGTACTCACTGGCAGAGACAGTACACGCAGCGCTCAGAGGGAGAGTCTGTGACTGAGAGAGGACAGAGACCCAGAGATAGACTGGGGCAGAGATCCCGAGAGAGAGGGGGATAGAGACCCAGAGAGAGAGGGGCAGAGATCCCGAGAGAGAGGGGGACAGAGACCCAGAGAGTGAGGGGCAGAGATCCCGAGAGAGAGGGGGATAGAGACCCAGAGAGAGAGGGGCAGAGCCCTGGAGGGAGAACGTGAGCCCCTGAGACCTCCCGTGCATGCGAGCGTCCAGTGCGTACTTCATCTTGCAGTGGGCCGCGGTGAGCACCCACCGCTCGTTGAGCAGGGAGCCCCCGCAGTGCAGCTGGTTGCCCTTCAGCAGGGCCACCTGCCAGGGATGGGAGTTGGGCTGACACCGGTAGCCTTCTATAATCTTGTCCGCAGAATCTTTGTCCTCTGCGTCCTTGTCTGTCCCTGGATAGCGACCTGGAGGGGAACCATGGGTAGTCAAAGTCCAGGGAAGGCTGAGGCCGGAGTCCTGAGGACCCAGAGATGGAGAGAGATTGACAGCCAGACACACGGAGAAACACAGAGGCAGCCGCTGGAAGAGCAGACAAGGGGCTGAGGAGGCAGCGGAGATGGGATGGAGAGGTGGGGTGGAGAGGGAGGGCCAGCACAGTCCGGAGAGCTCAGGGGCGCTTCTCTGCACACAGAGGGCAGGAGGGAGCCCAGAAGCCAGAGACAGAACAGACCTGGGGAAGCAGAAGGGGCTGCTCTACCACTTGACGCAGCAGTTATGCAAGGAGGGTGAGGTGCCAGCTCAGAGACTGCTGAGAGACGGGGGCAGAGACCCAGAGAGAGACAGAGACCCAGAGAGAGACGGAGACCCAGAG